TCCCAGTTCAGGGTGCTCTAGTTTGCACCATGAGGCTGTCAGCAAGTTTTAAAATTTTATTTATCTTTTATAATCAAATCATAGTCTGTTCAGTCAGACATCTGTAGCAAGGACATGAGCTGGTCACAATATTGGGCACTGTGGCAGGAACAAAGAGAAAATGTGCATAGCATCTGCTTGATGGAGTCCAGTGAAGGAGGCAAGTATGTTGCAAGGCCTGTGAGTGCGCTGAGGGCAATGATCAATTACAGCCTTGCTACTCAGTGTGGTCCCCACTGCCCCACAGCATTAACACCATCTGGGAGTCTGTTAGAAATGCAGAACCTCAATCCAGCTCCAGACCTGAATCAGAATCTTCATTTTAACAAGACTGCTAGCAGGTGATACTTATGCACACAGTAGATTTGTCCAGGAGACAGAAATCACTTCCCAGCAGAGTGTCCAAAGATGGCATCAATTCAACCATCATCACCAGAACAGGGCCCTGTGCTGGGGACCTAGAGAAGAAATAAATGTGTCCTTGCCCTCTAGGAGGCTAAGAGGGAAACAAACACACAACCACAGGAGTGGTGCAAAGGTAGGGGAGTAGCAGAGTCTGCTTTACATAGGTGGTGGCTCTGAGATGCTCAACTGCTAATGCTAGTAGAGGCATCATTTCTACTAAGAAAACTCTTTATAGTGCATGCAGAGTTGATCCAGTGCAACACAATTCGATTTCCTGTAGGTTCCAAGTAACATAAGAGCTGGGATCACCTTTGAGCTGGGGTTCACACAGCTCTTTGTTCAGTGGCACAGTGCCTCTCTGAGCCTCAATTTTCTCAACTGCAAAATAGGACAACTTGTACCACATAGGAGTTATCAGGGTTATCCATGCTTTTATTGGAGCCACAAAGCCACCTTGTGAGAGAGGATGGCAAATAAGGACTAACATGAAAACTTACTGAATGGAAAAAAAGAATGCTGCTGGACAGTATGTGCACTGTGAAATCAGGTTTAGAAAAAAAAGCCCCATACATATTATATGAATTTTTTTTTTTTTTTTTTTGCGGTACGCGGGCCTCTCACTGTTGTGGCCTCTCCTGTTGCGGAGCAGAGGCTCCAGACACGCAGGCTCAGCGGCCATGGCTCACGGGCCCAGCTGCTCTGCGGCATGTGGGATCTTCCCAGACTGGGACACGAACCCATGTCCCCTGCATCGGCAGGCGGACTCTCAACCACTGCGCCACCAGAAAAGCCCTATATGAACTATTTTTTAACGTGTACTATATATGAAATTATACATAGAGAAGAAGACCTGTAAGAACAATGACTTTCCTGGAGGGCAGAAGTAGGCCTTTATATACTTAAACAGTAGTTTATTTTCAAACAAATGTATACTTCTTAAACGAAAACATTTTACAAGTATTTAAGTGCATTGGGAATTGGAAGTAATGGTAATCCTGATTATCTGAGCAGGGTGATTATGGATGACATGTTCTTCTAATTATACTTTCTAAATTTCCTACAATGAGCCTGTATCCATCTGCGCCATTTGATTTGTCAGAAGCCCTAATTAGGGGACCTTCAAGATGGCTGAGGAGTAAGACATGGAGATCACCTTTCTCCCCACAAATACATCAAAAATACATCTACATGTGGAACAACTCCTACAGAACACCTACTGAACGCTGGCAGAAGACCTCAGTCTTCCCAAAAGGCAAGAAACTCCCCAAATACCTGGGTAGGCAAAAGAAAAAAGAAAAAACAGAGACAAAAGATTAGGGACAGGACCTGCACCACCCGGAGGGAGCTGTGAAAGAGGAAAAGTTTCCACATACTGGGAAGCCCCTTCACTGGGGGAGACGGTGGGTGGCCGTGGGGAAGCTTCGGAGCCACGGAGGAGAGCGCAGCAACAGGGGTGCAGAGGGCAAAGCAGAGAGATTTCCGCACAGGTGCCGACCGGCCCTCACCAGCCTGAGATGCTTGTCTGCTCACCCACCAGGGCGGGTGGGGGCTGGGAGCTGAGACTCGGGCTTCAGAGGTCAGATCCCAGGGAGAGGACTGGGGTTGGCTGCGTGAACACAGCCTGAAGAGGGCTAGTGTGCCACAGCTAGCCGGGAGTGAGTCTGGGAAAAAGTCTGTACTTGCCTAAGAGGCAAGAGACCATTGTTTCAGGGTGCACTAGGAGAGGGGATTCCTTCCCTGTCTGCCCACAGAAGGCAGAGCATTGCCTAAAAGAGCTCCAGAGACAGGTACGAGCCGCGGCTATCAGCTTGGACCCCAGAGGTGGGCGTGAAACGCTAACTCTGCTGCTGCAGCCACCAAGAATCCTGTGTGCAATCACAGGTCACTATCCACACACCCCTGGGAGCCTGTGCAGCACGCCACTGCCAGGGTCCTGTGATCCAGGGACAAGTTCCCCAGAGGGAACACACAGTGAGCCTCAGGCTGCTGCAACGTCACACTGGCCGCTGCTGCAGGCTCGCCCCACATTCCAATTATAACTTCCATACCCCTCCCTCCCCACAGCCTGAATGAGCAAGAGCCCCCTAATCAGCCGCAGCTTTAACCCCATCCTGTCTGGGCAGGAACAGTTGCCTGAGGGCGACCTGCACACAGAGGCGGGGCCAAATCCAAAGCTGAACCCCAGGAGCTGTGGGAACAAAAAAGAGAAAGGGAAATCTCTCCCAGCAGCCTCAGGAGCACCAGATTAAATCCCCACTATCAACTTGATGTATCCTGCATCTGTAGAATACCTGAATAGACAACGAATCATCCCAAAATCGAGGCAGTGGACTTTGGGAGCAACTGTGGACTTGGGGTTTGCTGTCTGCAAATGATTTGTTTCTGATTTTTATGTTTATCTTAGTACAGTTTTTAGCACTTGTTATCATTGGTGGATTTGTTTAGTGGTTTGGTTACTCTCTTCTTTTCTTATTATTATTTTATATTTTAATAATTTTCTTTTATTTTTTTTCTTTTTTTTTCCTCCCTTTTCTACTTCTGAGCCATGTGTCTGACAGGGTCTTGGTGCTCTGGCCCGGTGTCAGGCCTGAGCCTCAGGTGGGAGAGCCGAGTTCAGGACATTGGACCACCAGAGACCTTCTGGCCCCATGTAATATCAATCGGTGAGAGCTCTCCCAGAGATCTCCATCTCAATGCTAAGACCCAGCTCCACCCAACGGCCAGCAAGCTCCAGTGCTGGACGCCCCATGCCAAACAACTATCAAGACAGGAACTCAACCCCAACCATAGCAGAGAGGCTACAGGAAACCACAAACAAGACAAAAAGACAACCCTCAGAATGGGAGAAAATATTTGCAAGCAAATCAACGGACAAAGGATTAATCTCCAAAATATATAAACAGCTCATGCAGCTCAATATTAAAAAAACAAACAACCCAATCCAAAAATGGGCAGAAGACCTAAACAGACATTTCTCCAAAGAACATATACAGATTGCCAACAAACACATGAAAGGATGCTCAACATCACTAATCATTAGAGAAATGCAAATCAAAACTACAATGAGGTATCACCTCACACCGGTCAGAATGGCCATCATCAAAAAATCTACAAACAATAAATGCTGGAGAGGGTGTGGAGAAAAGGGATTCCTCTTGCACTGTTGATGGGAGTGTAAATTGATACAGCCACTATGGAGAACACTATGGAGGTTCTTTAAAAAACTAAAAATAAAACTACCGAATGACCCAGCAATTCCACTACTGGGCATATACCCTGAGAAAACCATAATTCAAAAAGAGTCATGTACCATAATGTTCATTGCAGCACTATTTACAATAGCCAGGACATGGAAGCAACCTGACTGTCCATCGACAGGTGAATGGTTAAAGAAGATGTGGCACATATACAATTGAATATTACTCAGCCATAGAAAGAAACGAAATTGAGTTATCTGTAGTGAGGTGGATGGACCTAGAGTCTGTCATACAGAGTGAAGTAAGTTACAAAGAGAAAAACAAATACAGTATGCTAACACACATATATATATACAGAATCTAAAAAAAAAAAAAAGGTTCTGATGGATCTGGGGCAGGACCGGAATAAAGACTTAGAGGTAGAGAATGGACTTGTGGACACGGGGAGGGGGAAGGGTAAGCTGGGACAAAGTGAGAAAGTGGCATTGACATATATACACTACCAAATGTAAAATAGATAGCTAGTGGGAAGCAGCTGCATCGCACACGGAGACCAGCTCAGTACTTTGTGACCACCTAGAGTGGTGGGATAGGGAGGGTGGAAGGGAGAGGCAAGAGGGCGGGGACACGGGGATATATGTATACATATAGCTGATTCACTTTGTTAGACAGCAGAAACTAACACAACATTGTAAAGCAATTATACTCCAATGAAGATGTAAAAAAAAAAAGCCCTAACCATCCCTACTCCCCAGCCCCCCACCCCCCAATTTCTCGCTGAATCTGCCGGTCTCTAGCGCCCTCTGCCAAAGTATCTCTACGTTTTGCGCTTCTCGAACTAGAAGGTGCAGGCCAGACTCCTGGGGGTCTTGCTAAAATGCATATGCTAATTCAATGGATGTGGGGCGGAGCCTGGGATTGGGCGTTTTACTCATATTCCCACGGGAAGCTGATGCTGGACCACACCGAGTGACAAGGATTGAAACTGCTAGGCAGCGAAGAGTTATTCTACAACAGCAACCACAGTACCAGTCAGCCTTGGACACCAGTCCAGCAGTGCTCCTCGGAAAGCCTAAACGTAACACGGAAAGCCGGCCAGCCTCGGGAGAAGGTTGTCCTTGGCTCGGCCGGCGGCCCCGCCCCTCGAGGCCCTCGCGGAGCCTCAATTGGTCACCCCTCTCGCGTGAGCGTCTCGTCACGTGAGGCCGCCGTCCAATCGCGGAGTGATCTCGGCCCAGCCGGTGGCTGGCGCGGCTGGCGCACGGAGAGGTGGTGGCGGGCACCATGGAGGGAAGATCTCAGGTCGCCGGCGGAGGGGTGTGCGCGGCTGCCTACCCCGACGCCTCCGCCGGATTCCCCCCGCACCTCCAGGCGGGAGCGATGCGGCGCCGCTTCTGGGGCGTGTTCAACTGCCTGTGCGCCGGCGCGTTCGGGGCCTTGGCTGCCGCCTCCGCCAAGCTGGCCTTCGGCAGCGAGGTCGAGCCGGGGGCGCCGCTGCGGCGGGCCGGCGGGTGGGGCCGGGGCAGGAGGGGCGCTGCGGGGCAGCGGGGCTTCGGGATGGAGCGGGGCTGGGAGCACAGGGGGGCCGCCTCACCCGCGCTGGCCTGTTTGGCCCACTCCGCAGCCGGGCACTACTGACAGCGTGGGCAGGAAGGCATCCCTCGACTCCATATCACGCCCAACCCACGTCCATTGTAGGTGGTAAGAGACTTCGGGGACTGAGGCTTGTACCCTTATCTGGGACCTAAAATCTGTCCTCCGATTGGGCTAGTTCACTCTCGGGGAAGACGCACACCTTCCACATCCACTCTCTACCTCTCATTTTAAGCCCTTTGTGCCCGAACATTTCTCTCCACGTGACTGTAAAGGTGAGACATCTGTTGCCCATCTCTTTAACTCCGTAGTTAATGGCTGTTTTGACTGGTCTCCCCTGCTGGCGGAAACTTGGGAATTTGGGATATCCTAGGTATAAGGGAGACTGAGAGAAACATTCTGGACATAACCCCGATGTTGAGAACTCCTTAACTGCCTCCCCATGTCTGCTAAAGGCGTACCTTTGCCTCTCCCATCGCGAGTCATAGGCCACCTTCTGCTTGTTAAAGAGATTTCATTGCATCTGCAACCCAGGGTTAGGCCCTGACCTGGACAGTAGACAGGTTGATTCTTTAGGTTTAAGCTAATCCAGTGGGAGCTGCCATGCTCGAGGTTGGTATCCTGTTGGGTGTAATTCTTGGAGTAAGTGGTCCAAAGTAAGATGAGTGACTATGAGCCATGAGGTTTTTCTAGTCTTCTCAGTTGTGCATCAGACCGTCATAAGCCTTTACATAAGCAGGCTGGCACTGGCACATAAAATGCTTCTGTGTAAATTATACAGAGACACTCCATCCTTAAGACTCTGTATATTCACCTGCTGATGAGAAGTAAGAGGATGAGGTGTAGATGGGCACCATCCCCAGGAGAAGCAGCTCTGTCTGCAGGCAGGTTTATAACTCAAAACCAAACAAGGGGTCTGCATATCCTTTGTGTAGGAGGCTTCTAAAGATCCTCTCTTCTTTCAGTGCTCTCCTTTAAAAAAAAAAGAAAAATATCTGCAAGTTCTCCAAGTGATGCCTGGGGTCACCAGTCAAATAGTCCCCCGTGTGGTTTCCCTAGGCATGGCTGTGTCCTAGTTTAGATCATGGAGCCACACTTCCTGGGCCTGAATCCTGGCGGCTCCCCACAGCTGTGGCGTTTTAGGCAGGTTACTTAATGCCTCAGGTTCTTTATCTGTAAAATGAAGTTAAGGAATAAATGAAAATGTACTTAAAACACTTAGCACAGGGCCTGGTACTGAGTAAAAGCTCAAGAATGCCCAGTGGGACCGGCCTGAGTGGGTTTTAGCCTTCACAGAATGGGGGTGGGGGTGGGGAGACGACTAATTCATGCTTTACCTGATCCCGGGAAGTGACGACTCCGCCCCTGATTTACTCATCCCTCAGACTGAGCAATAACCACTTGGCCTGCTGAGACTGAACTTCATGCACTCGTCACTGTGAGGCCAATAAGGGACTGGTGTTCAATAGAAGATAACTGGTATGGATTCGCATTTTACTTCTGCCCAAGGTCACATGGCTGGCAAGATGGCCAAATAGAGGTTGTTTCAGCTGTTAAATGGGTGTGCGCCCTGCTGAGGGTTAAGTGAAGCCCTATGCAGGAAAGCTCTGAGGACCCCCAGGCTGTGGTGGCCCGGCTGCCAGCAGTAACCATGGCCCTGGCTGCTGTGAGGGGTCTGCCGGTCATGCTGCCCAGGGCTGGTCGTGGCTGCAGTGACACTTTCTCCTGCAGGTGAACGTGGGCTTCTGCGTCTTAGGCATTATTGTGATGGCTACCACCAATTCTCTGATGTGGACGTTCTTTAGCCGGGGCCTCAGTTTCTCCATGTCTTCAGCCATTGCATCTGTCACAGTGACTTTTTCAAATATCCTCAGCTCGGTGAGTAGCCTGAGCGTACAGTTTCTCTGTCCCAAACCTGGGCTCTGGGTGGGTTGTCCTTGGGCAATCCCTGCTTCTACATAGGAGAAGGGCCAGGAACTGAAGCAGAGGTTGGGCTGTGTCTTGACTCCTGGTGGCTGCCCCTCTAATCTCTAACTTGGAGGAATTCTCAAGTTAGATGGGGATGAAGTCCAACTGTCAAAAGCCTACTTGCTTGCTGCTCCTCAGGGGTCTGTGAACTCAGGCAGGAGCTGTGGAGGGTCGAGGTTCTTCTCTCCCAGGTGGGGCTGAGCCACTCAGCCCTGCAGTCCAGGCAGGGAGGACTTGGTGGACCAGTTGTGTGCTGGGCCTGGCTGCCGGCCTCTGCTGGGCTTTCTTGTGCACTTTGCTCGGTCCGATGCTGTGAGGAGGTACCCTCCCCACTTCTCCAGGTGAGATATGCTGAAGGTAACAGATGGGTTTCAGGCCCAAGACTTCCAGCGCCAGACCTTTCCTCCCACCCTAGGAGGGCACTCAGCCACAGGGGAGTCATGTGGTGCCCACCCACTGTGGTCGCATCCTGTGGGCATGTGCCTGCCCAGCCTCACAGCTGTCTCTGTCCTGCAGGCCTTCCTGGGTTTTGTGTTGTATGGAGAGTGCCAGGAGGTCTTGTGGTGGGGAGGAGTCTTCCTCATCCTCTGCGGACTCACCCTGATCCACAGGGAGCTCCCACCACCCAGGAAGGCTCTTCCACACAAGCAGCAGTAGCACCAGCGGGCTGGGCGGACCCGCTGGAAAGACAGTGATGGCGGCTGAGGCTCGGGTTGGTGTGTGGGGACTGCTTCTCAGGGCGATCTGGGTGTGCAGCCTTCTGACCCTCAGCCAAAGAGAGATGCTTCCCAGGGAACCAGGCCTGTGACCGAGCAGCCTTGCGGGTGGACAGCTCCGGCTTCGCAGCAGTGTTCTGCCTGAAGCCTTCTCGGTCCGTCTGCTCGGTGCTGTTGATTCTCACGCTCCACAACCCACCCAGTGAGCCATGGCAGGTGTGGGAGACCCTGGGGTTGGTGGGCTTCCTGTGTGGACTTGAAACCATGCTGTAACTGCAGTCCTGTTGCCTAACAAAGGCCAGTCATGGGATTTTGGAATCAGTGACTGGTGGGGCTTTCGACAACTTCACACTGATATGTCAGGCCGTCAGCGTCATGCTTCTGGATTATGGCAAGAGAAGGAAAATTAGATTAATAAATACTTTTTTTGTAAGTTAAAACTGCCAGGTGTGGAATCTTAATTCTCTCCTACTTTTTTTCCTTTCCTAAGTTTTTGGAGTAAGAGCAACCAGGGTGAGCTGCAATTCCTGGAGGGGGAGTTGAAACTCCTCCCGCTGCTTCCAGACCTGGGGCTTGAATGCTCTCTGCCTGCGTGGTTCCTTCCTGACTTCACGCAGGCTGGTGCTCTTCAAATTCAGGAGCATCTGTCCATTCTCTTGGTCCCAAGGAGAAAGGCTTGACCTCAATTTGGGGGCCTAGTTTTATTTTACTTATTAGGAAAGGAAACTGGCCCAGAGGTTGCTCCCACCCCCTCATGTTACCTCTTCTGCCTTTTGGTCCCGTGGCTTTTTTGTATCTTACACCACGTGAATCTAATTCCTAGTTCAAAACAGTCTGTTTGCTGCCTGCACCCTCTCCCCGTGCATAGCTTCAAGTGCGATGCTCACCTGCCCCAGTTCCCCGGGGCTCCCCTGGCTGTCTGAGAGCCCTCTCAGCTCTCCTGAGCCTGACTGCCGGCCCCAGGAGGTCTCCTTTCACATCCCCTGCAGGAGAGAGGGCCTTCTTAGCCACGAGGCTGGGGGAGAGAAGGGTCGTGTCCAGCTGGCCCCTCCTCCCCACGCACATAGCACCTTCATTGCTGTCCTCCATTACTCGTGGCAGTGGCCGGATGCTCTCCAGAGCTGTTCTGTGACTCCCAGTGACTTCGCTGTGGCCCAGCCCCCTCTCCAGCTGCTCCCTTGCTGCCTCCTTCCCTCCCCCACTCACCGTGCCTGAGTCACCCACATGTCTGCATCTCAGCAATTCTTAAGGCCGCCACAGCCAGTTGTGCCTCCATGCTTTTGTGCCTGCTTTTCCCTTTGCCTTGGATTCCCTCCTCCTTCCCCTGTCCCTGGAAAACTCCTCCTTCATATCCAACAGGGCACAATTTGCTGCTCTTTCTGAGCTGCCACAGGGGCCAAGGCCAAGCGGTGATTCACAGAATGGTAATTGACTAGCCCCACTTTGACACATTGAAGCCTCCCAGCCTCACTGGAACGCAGAGGCAAGGTCAAGGTACTGGAACCATGGGCAAGAAGAGGGATCAGAGTCCCCACTATCTGAGATGCCCCTCTTCTCTGTGGACTATGTCCATACGCTAATAAACTTGTGCATATGAGTAAACACAAACAAACGTTTATTAAGTGCCTACCACCTGGTAGTTACACGGAATCTAGGCACAGAGAAAATGGGGGCCAAATAGACTACTAGTCCAGGAGCCTGGTGTCTATCAGACTCAGAAATTAGGGGTGCTGGAAGTGTCATTAGAAGTCTTCTTTTATGATGGCAAAGATTTTATCTCAAATGCCTAATCTAATCAATGGGTTGTGGGTACCCAGGGCAGTTGAGAATGGGCGGAAAGCCCCCAAAACAACTGTGATGTCTCCATGGACTCAGGATGGGAGCCTGGAGAACGCAGCCAATTATTATTCCACCTTGAGCCCAACTTCTTGTTTTCCAAAGACAGGAAGAGACTTACCCAAAATAACCCAGTTCCATCCGTCTAGATTTCATCTAATTCTGTGCTTGATGATCACTCATTCGGGGGGACTATAATAAATGACCACACTCCTCCTCTCTAGCTTTTTGGCAGCACCTGAAGAGACTCTGCCCTTGGACTCCAATACCTACATGGGCAGCCTATGTTTGATGATGAACCAATCATCAAAACTTTCATAATCGCAGGAATTCTAGAGTCCAAGGAAACGACCGCCTCTCAGGAGTTTGCATCTTTCCAGTACCCTGAGCTCCCTGTAGAGGTTAGCCACCTGCAGGCAGAAGGGTCTCCTGGCTGGAGTTCGGCCTTGGCTTGCGGGTGGGGCCCTAAGAATCCTGGAGGGGCCCCTGGTTGGCTCATTCTTTAGGTCAATTGTATTCCTAAGAAAAATGACACCTTGCTTTTCCAAATAATTATTTCTGGAGAAGTGATGGATCAAACAGTTTTTTTTTTACATTTTTGGTCAACTAAATTCTTAACATTTTAATTTTTGGAATAAGTAATTACTTGCACATTGTACAAAATTCTAAACATGCAAAAGTTACAGGGGCCCACCCTCCTGGAAGGCAGTTAGCGGTCTTTCATTACCGCTAATTTCATTACCGCTTTCATTACCGCTGGCAGAATTGGCCAGCCACTTATCGGCACTTACATCTTCTAAAATGCCCTGCACATCCCACTTGCCACCCTCACCCAAGTGGCTTAGCAGAGTATTTCTTCCACCTCCTGAGAGAAGTCTGGGAAAACGCACCTCTCTCCAGGCAGTCATGGTTCCAGGGATGTTTGAGGTGCCTTTTTTTTTTGGTAATCTTTTATTTTTATTCATTTATTTTTATATTTATTTTTGGCTGTGTTGGGTCTTTGTTTCTGTACGAGGGCTTTCTCTAGTTGCGGCAAGCGGGGGCCACTCTTCATCGCAGCGCGCGGGCCTCTTCACTACGGCAGCCTCTCTTGTTGCGGAGCACAGGCTCCAGACGCACAGGCTCAGTAGTTGTGGCTCACGGGCCTAGTTGCTCTGCGGCATGTGGGATCTTCCCAGACCAGGGCTCGAACCCGTGTCCCCTGCATTAGCAGGCAAATTCTCAACCACTGCGCCACCGGGGAAGCCCTGAGGTGCTTTTTAACAGGCGCTCTAGCTTTGCCTGGCTGGCCTGCCTTTTAATTGGCTCTGACGGTATTTCAGGAATTAAGAGGTTTTAGCTAATATATCTGCGTTGCCAAAGGCATGGAGAAAGCACAGGGTGTTGGTGGGGAGTGGGAACTGTTTCGGAAGAGCTAGATATTTGGATGAATGTTACAAGTGAGGTGAAGCCTGAAAAATGCAAAACATGATGTAAGCCCAGGGGATCCCTGGGTGGAGGAGGGGCACCAGGCCTGAGGTGTGGGTCCGAGGAAGAGGGCTCATCTAGGGCCAGGTGGGGGAAGTGGTTACACCAGTGTCAGGTGCTCTGGCCAGATTAGAGGTAGGGGCACTCTGAGGGAAGAACAGAGCTTAGCTTCAGTTCTGCTTCTTTCTCTGGGCTGCTCTGTGAGGCAACTTGACTGACAGGCCCCTTTTGGGATTTGGGGTCTTGTCTGTGAGGAGGTATGATATCCAAGGGTATGGAAGGGAGCCCCGGTGTGGTGGGCGGGAGCCTGTGTATTAACCCTGGAGCTCTGGAAGGGCATCTATGGGAATCCTCCCTCACAAATGTCCCTTGTTTAAAGGGCCTTTCTGGGGAAGCCCTTGCAACTGTCTGTCTTGCTAGATGGGGCATCTGAGAACCACAGGCTGCAGATGGGGCTGGGTGGTGCAGGACGGTCCTTAGTTTGGTGAAGAGGGATCCCGCTTAGGGCTGAAAAGAGGCCAACATACAGGTCAGGCTTGAACTCTGGTTGGCATGGGATAACATGTCTTGAGTTCCTTAAAAGAGAGTCTGACAAAGCTCAGGATGTCAGGTTATTTATACATATACATGATTGCTGGCAACACCAGAAGCTAAAGAAAGGCATGGAACAGATTCTCCCCTAAAGCCTTCAGACAGACACACACACACACACACATTTTCCTGGCTTGATATAATGCATCATTTTGGTTCTATTTCTCTGCTTTAACTTACCATGAAAACATGTACCTGACTCACACACCTTCTCCTCCTCTTCTCATCCCCACCCCACCACAGCTGCCTGACACAGGCAGAATTGGCCAGCCACTTATCGGCACTTACATCTTCTAAAATGCCCCGCACATCCCTTTGACAGACACCAAGTCCTCTGTGGAAAGCCTGGGCGTCTCCCTGCTGTAGACCATTGACCAAGGGTGAGTCCACTTAAGCTGTTCTTACAAACAGTGCAGAAAATCTCTCCAGGACATAGACCTTTGCTCATGTGTGCAGGTATTTCTGAGATGTGAATTCACAGTAGGGGGTTATAGGGTCAAAATATAGATACATTTTGCTAATGCCAAATTGCTTTGGGAAGAGATTGCATTGATTTATTCTCCACCGACAGATCTTTTTGATTTTTGCCGATATAAATGGTTGAATAATTTCACTGTTGTTTTAATTTGCATTTCTATTTGTGAGGCTGAATATTTTTATGTTAATTAACTATCTCCTGTGAATTGCTTGTTCATATCCTTTACCTATTTTGAGTCATTAATTTGTTCGTATTGTGTGTAGTCTTTATACAGAAAAGTGTTATTGCTGCAAATCATTTCACAGTCTTTTTTTTAACCTCTAAATGCCTTTCACCACTAGAACTTTGCCATTTTAATGTAGCCAAATTTGTTAATTCCTTCCTTTAGGGATACTGGGTTTCATGTCACCCCAAGAATATGTTTTCTATGCTTTTTCTAAAACTTTTGGCTTTATACTATTAGGCACCTGGAATTTAATTTTTTAGCGTGTGGAGTGATGTAGATAGAGCTCCAACTTTCTCAAATAATCTATCATTTCCTAGTGTTTTGAAATGCTGCTTTCATACATCTGGGTCTCTGGACTCTTTAATTTGCTTATTTATCTTCTCCTACTGCAATGTCATACCATCTAAAGTATTGTAGTTCTATAGTACATATTGATACGTAGTAGGCAAATGCTCCTCACCACTGTTTTTCTTGTCCATAGAACTTTTAAAAGCTGTTGGGATTGAGATTGGCACTGCATTGAATTTACCAAGTTATCGGGGGGAGAATCATGCCAAGTGACTACACTGAGTCTTCCCATCTAGGCATGTGGGATACTGTTCCATTTATTCAGGTCTTCTTTGTTACATTTAGAAAAGTTTTATTGTTCATACACAATTTGCACATTCCTAGTTGGATTACTTGCAAGATGTATTTATAGCTTTTGTGAATGAAATATTTTTCATTATATTTTGTACTTGCTTGCTGGACTATATGGAAACTATTGATTTTGATACGCTGATAGATCTAGCAAAGGACTTGACCAAACTCTAATGCTTTGTTCCTGAACGAAGGTTTCTGACGGTCTGTTTCTTATAGGGTGTCTGAATATTCCAAGGAAAAACCAGTAAACTACTGTTTTCCTTAGACCTTAAGATACAGACAAATTAACTGGGGGAATATTGTTAAAATGTGTATTCTGGTTCAGCAGGTGGGGTTGGAGGCTCAGAATCTGTGTCTCTAACAGGGCTCCCAGGTGATGCCAGTGTTGCCAGTAGTGTGGCCCCCCAGAGCACATTTTAGTAGTGAGAGGCTAGATGATATGTTTTCTGTGATCCATCATAAAACAGATGTTCCTCTTGGATTTCATATGAAACAACTGTTGCTAATACGCATGGAGCAAGAACATCTGTAAACGCAGGCAGGATTCCTAGGAGGGTTTGTGAAATGTCAGAGCTGGAAGAGCCCCTGGAAGCTGGTTTAACCACCTTGCTTTACATCGGAGAATACTGAGGCCCAAAGGGGCGGTGGAGTCATCTAAAGCATCAGAGCTGTGTCCCAGATCAGGTAAGTGCCATACTGGGGCCAGTTTATTCTAACTAGCCAGGGGACTGGCCTTTAGCTAGCCTCAGAAACTGAACCTCAGTTTCCTCATCTATAAAATGGGGATAATAACACCTGTTCACCGCATGGCACATCCGTGAAAGTCAAATGGGCCAAACAGCAAGAGGAAAATGGACAGAGAATGGCCTGAGTGCCTAAGAGGACCCAGGTCTGTCTGGCTCCAGAGGTCATGCTTGTTTCTGGCCCTTTGTCTTCCCCCAGGGTGATGGTGAGTGAAGAGGAAGCCTATAGACCCAGGGGGCACAGACTCAAACTGGCTAGACCAGTTGGCGGTAACAATGGGGACAGTGGGGTGTTGTGGACAAACAGGAACAGGAAGGACCGTGGTAAACAGGAGTGGGTGCTGCCACTCAGCTCATCTAACTGAGACTGTGTAGGAACGTGGGCCCTGCACTTCCAGATCTTCTGACCTTTCAGAATAAGCTAGAGGAGTGTGTGTGTTCTTCTACAATGTAGAGCTCCTGGGTCTTAAAATGCGGCAATTAATTCAAGTTGTAAAAATCACTCTGTGGATCAGACACAGCAAGTCAGAGGTTAAACTTGTCCTTAGCTTGTCAGTTTATAAACAGTGCTGCCAACAGCTGAGATGCTACTGGCACCCCTGCCCCGCCCTGGTGCCCTGTTCCTGCATCTGACTCTCCAGCATGGGTTTAATCATCAGTATTCATCAAAAGCTCCCTAGGTGCTTCTCACAGCACCCAGCATGGATGCCTACGTGCTGTGTCCAGCAATGGCCAGGACACTTCAAAGAGGCTGAGCTGAGGTTGGGACTCTTGGTTTCTCACACACCTTACTTCCCCTCTCCTGCAACATCCTCAGCTGAATGCATGTCTGTGTGTCTGAATCTTCCACGACGGTGAAGCCAGGTGAGACCATTAGATTCCAAATAAAAGGCATCCCAACAATAGCTGGACTTGAGAAATTTATCAAGTTTAGTTCCAATCAGGTGAAAGAGGTTCATGCTGAGAAGACTGTTCTCATCACAACTAGCCTTTGCCTGATGCCTTGGAAAGAGGCAGCAGCTCTGACTGGCTCTAAGCCTTGGTTGAGCGTTTCAGCATTTCCTGCTTTGGGATTAGCTTTCAGATAATTAGATTTTATTACTCATTAGATTTCAGATGATTAGATTTGATTACTCATAGGAGGGCAGATTCAAGAGCCAGCTGGGTGAAAGCGTTCAAAGGCCAACACAAATCACAGGCAGCAGGACCCACTAGGCCAGGTCGTGTGGAATCACAGGGTAGCCTGTTGACAGCTAGAAACCCCCAGCCTGGGCCACAGAACCTCACCTCCCTGCCTTGAGTCATGGCCTCGAAGAGCAGGGCCACCACTATCTGCAGTCAGAACCAAAGGCGTCCACAGCCACAGAGTCCCTCCCTGGAGACACAGGCTATCAGAAGCTGCTGCCCACTTGCCCCGTGAGGAGGGACCACCTCTTCAGCCCCAGAGTGCATCAGCCCTGGAAGCACTAGCCAAGTAGAGTCTTCTGCCAGAACTGGTCTGGGCCTGCTGGAAATATATTCTCTCCTCGCTCCTCCTCCTGCCTGAAATCCCACCCCTCTTGCTTCCCTGAGGGGGGCCTACCTGAGGAAGAGCAGGTAGACGGGGCCTTTCCCTCGGATCTCTGCACACACCGGGCCTGGGCCTGGGCCTGCCTGCCAAACCAGAAGCAGGACTGAGGGCCAAGTGCTGTCTGTTCACCTTTGACTTTCGACAACTTCAGGCAACTTGAAACTATGGCACGTGAAACCCAACTTCACAGCCCCTACGCTTCCCCATGGTTGGTGAGCCTTCGAGGCACCTGTAGTGTAGTAGGCATGTCCAGTCTTCCACGTGGAAGGAGCCCCAGCCCCTTGGTGGTGGCGGATGACCCAGTGGTCCCTCCTACTTGATGACTGATGGTGTTGGTAAGTTAAAATCAGGAACCTTCAAGGGGGCCAATGCGGGGGTGGGGGGATGAGGGAGGGAGGGAGGAAGATGGAGAACAGCCCCACCTCTCCTGGTGAGGGAGCCTGCATACCTGCTCCCTCCATACAGCCCCTGAACCTTCTCCAAGGAAGCCACAGCCTCCTCACCTGGTCCCATCCAGACATTTCACTCTCACTCTAACACCTGAAATATCCCCCTCCTCCAGGCAGCGTGGGAGTGATCGGAGAGCACCCCTACCCCTCATACCAGGCAGGCCCATCCCAGGCCCTTACCCTGCTGAGCACTCCCAGCTCACACGCGGTGAGGACAGCCAGCCCTGTGCTCCCCGGACATGCTGCTGGACCCCAGGTCCCCTTTTCAGGAATGCCTTTCCTTGGGAACCATCTTGGATGTGGCCCTAGATGTGGTCTGTGAATTTGCTGATCCTGTTGCTTCAGTTCCTCTCTCATGGCCAAGGAGGTAAGATCCATCCCTCTGTACCTCCCATTCACTCCCTGATCCCCAGGAATAAAGCTGCCTTTGTGACCCTGTGGGCCTCCACCTCGGGGTGCAGAGGGGGCAGGCCAGCCAGAGGGGTCCTCACTTGGACCAGACCCAGGAAAAGAAGGGTGTTAAACAAGGGTGCCCCTTCCTGACCTTTGGGGTAAAGAAGACATCCCAAGGGGTGCCCCACGTCTGCCCTGCCCACCACCTCATCTCACCAGTGCTGGTGGCCCCATAGGCCTGGCCTGGAAGCAGAGCTGTGGGCAGCAGCACAGGGACCCACCAGAGATGCCCTCTCTGGTAGTGTGTGTGTGTGGGGGGGGCTCTGGCCACTACCCATCCTTTCAGAGAGACACGATGGGCACTGTCTTGGGAGAACTGGCCTAAAACATTCAGGCCAGATTTCTGGTCAGTTCTGCCCATGTGGGTGGTTAGACTCTCTCCAGGACGGACAGTTAAATGCAGTTCTCATAGGGGAGGTCAGAGTTCCGGTAGCTCTAAACAGGTTCTTCCTCCCGACCCTTCAGTGGGAGGGTTTTTAGCCACAAGGTTTTTAGCCACAAGGCAGGACACCTCCGAGCTGACTCAGGGATTCTAGTATCTATAGAACGGGAGCTAAGTTTGGGTGTTACTGTCATAACTCAGGCTTGCTTCCAACCTCGGCATGTCCCGTGTGTGTGTGTATAGCCTGCTGTTGGAGTCTTCTCCCAAACCAAGCCTGAGCCCTGAAGGTAGCTGAGGCCGCCATGCCTTTCTTCTAGTTTAGGCAGGCACCAGGGGGAAGCCCTTTCGGGGGAGTGACCAGAATCCCTTCAGCCTTTCCAGGTCCATCTCTCCTGATGCCAGTGTCCCACCCCAGGTTCCCAAGGCCAGCCCTGCTCTGTTCTTCCATCACAACCACACAGCCTTAGTTTTCAAAAGCCAGGAGCCTGGGCCCCAACCTTCTCAAGAGAAGACAGACATCCCAAGAAAGGACACAGGCCAGTTCTTTTCTGCCCCCAGGCTGCCCTATTCAGAGCCTCCTTTGCTGGGTGAGGGTGCACAGGCTGTGAAGGGTGCCCAGCCTCGGAGAATGGTTCCTGACAATCCCTCATGGGCAGATGAGCTCAGAGCAAGTTTCTCATCTTCCTCTGTCACCCCTAGTCCACCCCCATCCCCGAACTGGTCCAACGTGGGGAGAGGGAGGAGGGGTCAGAGGACGGCAAAGCCAAGGGGGTGGTGTGAAGGGAGCAGTGGGTGCAGGGGAGCGAGTGGTGCGCAGGAGCCCTGTGGCGATGATGCCGGCACGTAGGATGATGCGGCTGCCTGGTGCCTGGCCCTCTCCCCACAGTATCATTCATCTATCACCTCCACAGAGTCCTCGTCCTTCCTCTGCTCTGAGTGCTCCTCTGTTGTTTCTGTGTTCTCAGTGTCTGACAGCGATGCCACCTGTCGCACCCAGCCACTGTCACTGAGAGGCTTTGGATGACGCAGTCCGGAGAAGGGGTTGAACCAGTTCAGGGAAAAGTCCCCACCAAAGGTCTCTTTGACTGACTTCCAGCTGCTTGTGCGTTCCCTGGGCTGGTGCTTTCGTTTGAGGCGCTCAATGCCCTGGAGGGACAATGGGATAAAGAGGGTCAGCGTGGGACAGCCGTGCGCCATCTTACACACCCCAGGTCCCGGCACAGCAGAGCACCAAGGCCCAGAGCCAGGGGTTCCCAGAGGGTGGGGAGGGGCTCGGAGCAGCACAGCAAGCAGGGCCTGTGTTTCCCACCAACTGCCCTCCTTTCCTTCCACAGGAGCAAGGGTGCCCGGCCAGCTGCTGCGCAGTGACCAGGCTGCCCAGTGGCTAAGGGCCAAGGAGTAACATCTCAGGCCTCTGCAGGCATGAGCTGGGCCATCTGTCCGGAGACCACCCAGAAAGACAACCCCTCCCCAAGTATCCTGGGCCACTCCCCCTACAGCAGGCGCAGCAAACCCAGCACGAAGGAGGATGATGCAGTTAAGGGGGACAGCAGGAGACACACGAAGCGTGAGGTGAGGAAGCAGAGGTGTGCACAGCGAGTGCCAACATGCAGCGGGCAGCTGGAGGGTGCACGGGGCCGCTGCGAGGGGGCAAAGGCTGGCGTCGAAACTGCACATGCAGTAGACATGCCCTGTGGCCTCTCCCGAGCTGCCCACTCACCTGCCTCTGGGTGTCGGCTGCGCCAGGCCACAGAAGAGGGTGTTGGGAAGGGGGAGAAGCCAAAGGAGTTAAAGGCACAGCCAGGCCAGCTCTCCAGGCCCACCACACCCTCTGCAGAGGCTTTACCCCCACTGGGGCTCTGCCTCCTCCATCTCTTCTGGAAGCCAAGGAGATTTGTCGTGGGCTTCCCAGGCACAGGTACTGCTCACTGACAGCACTTTCCACCTCGGAATGACCTCTGAGTACCTAGTTCTAGGTTTTCTCTTCTTTTCCACACAAGATCCTTACATAACCAGCATAATTCTTTCTATTGTGCAGGAGAAACTGAGATAAACGTACAGACTGAGATCTGGCCACACCTGGGCCAGTTCCTCTCCACCACTCTTTCTTCCCACACCATCTCAGAGGTTTAAGTTTCTTGGCTTTTGGAAAAATGGTAGGTTAAAGAACCTGATCTCAAAGTATCTCCTCATAAGATACTTCCTAATTACCAAGGGTAAAACAGTACCTTTACAGTAAGGAAACTTCGCAGATATAACTTTAACCAATTGAAGTTAACATCACCAATAATGAAATGTATCAACATCACGTGCCCTCCGATACGGTGCCCCAAGAAGGACAGAACATCACTTCACTGGTTTTCCTGCCCAAAAGGCATAATGTCAATCTAATTATGTGAAAACATCAGACAAATGCAGATGTCAGGATATTCCACAGAATATCTTCAACAGGATAATAATCTTCAACAGGATCAAAGTCTGATGAAATTGTTTTGGAACCAGACAGAAGTGGTGGTTGTACAATATTATGAACGTACTAAATGCCACTGAACCACACACTTTAAAATGGTTGCTTTTATGTGATGTGAATTTAACCTCAACTAGAAAGAGGATCAGGTTCATGAAAGACAGAGAAAGACTGAGGAGGAACTAAAGACACAGGACAAAGGATGCAATGTGGCATCCTGGAACAGAGAACGATACTAGTGGGACAACTGGAGAACTCTGAATAAAGTATATAGATTGGTTAATGGTATTGTATCAGTAAATTTCCAGGTTTTTATATTTGTGTTATGGTTTTATAAAATGTTTACATTTGGAAAGACTGATTGAAAGGCATATGGGAGCTCTTTGTACTATTTTTACTAATTTTTTTTTTTTGGTTAAGTCTGAAATTATTTCTCAATAAAAAGCTAAGAAAAATCTGAGACACGATTTATGCAATACAGTCTTGAACACGGATTAATAATGAGAAGTTGGAAACAATCAAAATGTCCAATAATGATGGCTAAGTAAATTATTCTATAAAGCACAACACTATGCAGTTATTGAAAGTGGCATCAACGACAAGGGCCTAATTTTCAAAATATACAAACAGCTCATACAACTCAACAACAAAAAACAAATAACCCAATCCAAAAATTGGCAGAAGGCCTAAACAGACATTCCTCCAAAGAAGACATATAGATGGCCAGTAGGCACATGAAAGGATGCTCATCATCGCTAATTATTAGAAAAATGAAAATAAAAACTGCAGTGAGGTACCACTTCACACTGGTCAGAATGGCCATCATCAAAAAGTCTACAAATAATAAATGCTGGAGAGAGTGTGGAGAAAAGGGAATCCTCTTAACACTGCTGGTGGGAATGTAAATTGGTATGGAAAACATACCAATGGCTGCTATGGAAAACAGTATGCAGGTTCCTCAAAGAACTAAAAATGGAGTTGCCATATGATCCAGCAATCCCACTCCTGGGCATATACCCAGACAAAATTATAATTTGAAAAGGTACATGCACCCCTATATTCAAAGAAGCACTATTTACAATAGCCAAGACATGGAAACAACCTAAATGTCCATCGACAGATGAATGGATAAAGAAGATGTGGTGGGGAGATATACACACACACACACAAACACACAATGGAATACTACTCAGCCATATAAAAGAATGAAATAATGCCATTTGCAGCTACATGGATGGACCTAGACAAATACCATATAGTATCACTTAAATGTGGAGACTAAACTATAATACACATGAACATATCTAAGAAACAGAAACAGACTTACAGACACAGAGAACAGACTTGTGGTTGACAAGGGGGAGGGGAGGTGGGAGAGGGAAGGATTGGGAGTTTGGGATTAGTAGATGCAAACTATTATATATAGAATGGATAAACAACAAAGTCCTATTGTATAGCACAGGGAACTATATTCAATATCCTGTGATAAACCACAATGGAAAAGAATGTGAAAAAGAATATATATATATATACATGTATAACTGAATCACTTTGCTGAACAGCATAAATTAACACATCATTGTAAGTCAACTATACTTCAATAAAATTAAAAAAAAAAAAGTGGCATCAATACAGTTTTACATACACTGGAAAGTCCTGTCCACGTGGTGACAAGAGAAGAAAGCAAAGTTGCATCTGACATCATTGTGGAACCTGGGGTTTGGGGATGGGATTTTATTTTATTTTTTTAAAATTAATTAATTAATCAGCTGAGTTGGGTCTTTGTTGCTGCGTGCGGGCTTTCTCTAGTTGCAGCAAGTGGGGGCTACTCTTCATTGCAGCGTGCAGGCTTCTCACTGCAGTGGCTTCTCTTGTTGTGAAGCATGGGCTCTAGGCGCCCGGGCTTCAGTAGTTGCAGCACGTGGGCTCAGCAGTTGCGGCACATAGGCTCTAGAGCGCAGGCTCAGTAGTTATGGTGCAGGGGCTTAGTTGCTCCATGGCATGAGGGATCTTCCCGGACCAGGGCTTGAACCTGTGTTCCTTGCATTGGCAGGCAGGTTCTTAACCACTGCACCACCAGGGAAGTCCTGGGGATGGGATTTTAGATTTGATTTATTTCTGTAGACTTCCCCCATGTTCCAAATTTTCACCAAGAAGCAGATGTGACTTTTATAATCAGAACAAAAAAGCTGTTTCAGAAAATGGACCTTATTGACACAACTCTTGAGGGAACCTCACGTGGGTCTGGGGAACAGGATGCTGTGCTATTCACGGTCCGGCCCCTCACCAGGCCTCCCTCCTTAGCGGGAGCGGCAATGGCCAGATGAGTGACTTGCTTTGGGGATTCTGGGTTCCCTTCTTGGGTGATCATTTGCAGCCTGTTGAGAGAGGCATTCTAACCATGACTGCAGGGGTGCTGGGATGTGGCCACTTGGCAGACCAGGCTGCAGAGGGGACACCCAGAAATGACAAACTGGCTGGGTCTGCACTGACTGAGCTCACTCAAAGCCGTGACTGTGGGTCCTTACAACCACCCCGAGAGGAGGCGGGTGTTAGTACTAACGCTCGTCATAGGGGAGGGAAGACAGGGGTTCTGAGAGGCTGTGACAGCGGCCGAAGCTTATCCTGCTGGTTGTGCCTCAGAACCAGGATGAGAACTGGTGTGTTCTCTCTGCTCAATGCATTTTCAATTCTACTGCAAATCCTCACTCAAAGGCAGAGAAAAGCTGCAGAGGGAAATGAAGCAAAAGAGCCCACAGGACAACACAGATGGAAAGATGTATCACGTTCTTATACTGGAAGAATTAATATTGTTAAAATGACCACACTACCCCAGACAATCTACAGATTCAACGGAATCCCTATCAAATCCCTATCTGTCTCCTAGAGCAAAGGAAATAAAAGCAAAAATAAACAAGTGAGACCTAATTAACCTTAAACGCTTTTGCATACCAAAGGAAACCATCGACAAAACAAAGACGATCTACAGAATGGGAGAAAATATTTGCAAATTATATGACCAATGAAGGGTTAATATTCAAAATATATAAACAGCTCATACAACTCAACAGCAACAAACAAACAAACAAGCTGCTTAAAAAATGGGCAGAAGACCTGAATAAATAGATCTCTAAAGAGGACAGGCAGATGACCAACAGGCACGTGAAAATATGCTCAACATCACTAATCATCAGAGAAATGCAAATCAAAACTACAATATCACCTGTAAGACTGGCTATCATCGAAAACAATACAAATAACAAATGTTAACAAGGATGTGGAGAAAAGGGAACACTTGTGCACTGTTGGTGGGAATGTAAATTGGTGAAACCACTGTGGAAAACAGTATGGAGGTTTCTCAAAAAACTAAAAATATAACTACCATATGACCCACCAATTCCACTCCTGGATATATATCTGAAAGAAACAAAAACATTGATTCAAAAAGTTACCGCAGGGCTTCCCTGGTGGCGCAGTGGTTGAGAGTCTGCCTGCTGATGCAGGGGACACTGGTTCGTGCCCCGGTCTGGGAAGATCCCACATGCCGCGGAGCGGCTGGGCCCGTGAGCCATGGCCGCTGAGCCTGCGTGTTCGGAGCCTGTGCTCCTCAACGGGAGAGGCCACAACAGTGAGAGGCCCGCGTACCGCAAAAAAAAAATAAATAAATAAATAAAAAGTT